AATGAAAACTCGAGTTAGAAGTCTATATCTGAGCTTAGAACGAGAAAATTTTGGGACGCGCGGATGAAACACACCCGCAAAGGAATGTGTCGGAGTGTGCGCCTCAACTGATCTGCTGTGTATGTGATTTTGAGTCCGCCTAACCCCCTGAGCGATGAGAGTGATCATAGAGGCCTGTCGCACCAGGAGAGGATCAATGGCAAGATAGCTGATTCCCCATATAGGCCTTATTAACACCCACGCGACGCGCGTGCTAACATCCGTCGAAGAACTGGGCACCATGTTTAAAAATAACTTGAGGATTATCTTGTGAATAAGGCTTATATGGAGGATTCACTCTCACGCTTACTCTTCATGCTCTCTTGTTTTGCGCTTCACGGTGCGATGAGAATTCGGACTGACTCAGTTGAAGTGACCTAAAGAATTAAGAGCGCTGTAGGGAATACAACGGAAGTCGGTACCCTCGGGTAAAGTTATTATCTATCGCAATGGAAAACCTGTCACCAAACAATGAAGACCTGCAGTAATATCATTGTTTTCCTTGCCAATTGCAAGATTAGCATTGGAATTCTTCTTGTTGTTAATCGCTCCACCGTGTTATTTAATTTATTAGCGAACTGTAAAGACCACTAAGGAGATCTATACAACTGATCACATCTTTTTACAGTGGAGAAATACGCTACAAAGAATGGGCTACTGCTTACACTTGAGATTCAAAACTGTCAAATGTCTTCTCTTCGTATTGCTTGAAATCGGTCTGACAATCATTAGCCAAGGTAAAAAGCCACATATCGTTTTCATCTTAGCAGACGATTTGGGCTTCAACGACATCGGCTACCATAACTCGAAAATCAAAACAAAAGTCTTGGACGAATTAGCTCGCACGGGAGTTCGACTAGAAAATTACTACGTTCAGCCAATTTGCACACCAACGAGAGCGCAGCTTTTAACAGGACGCTATGATATTCACACTGGCTTACAACACGGCATCATTTGGCCCTCACAGGCAAATGCTTTACCGAGTAACGAAACGACAATCGCAGCGAAATTGAAAGAGAGTGGCTACAGAACTCACTTGGTTGGAAAATGGCATCTGGGGTTCTATAAAAAAGAATTTGTCCCAACACGAAGGGGATTTGATTCGTTTTACGGATTTTTAACAGGTGGTCAGGATTATTACACCCATCGCAATCGACTTGGGTTTCCTAAAGAAGGTTACAAGTTTTTGAACGGTTATGATTTTTGGCGGAATGAAGAGCTTATACGAGACGTAGTCGGCGACTACACCACTGTCCTTTTTGCTAAAGAAGCGGAGAGGATAATTACAGAACACGACCCGAAGAGTCCACTTTTCTTGTTCTTGTCGTTTCAAGCTCCTCATGCACCACTTCAAGTGCCCGAGCGATTTTTGAAGACTTACAAAAGCATAAAAGATCATAATCGGCGCGTTTACGCTGCCATGGTTTCGTGCATGGACGAGGCTGTTGGCAACGTGACGCGGGCGCTGAAAAAACGCGGCTTATGGAAAGACACCGTGTTAATTTTTAGCAGTGATAATGGCGGACAGGTCACTGCCGGAGGTAATAACTGGCCACTGCGAGGTTGGAAAGCTTCGCTTTGGGAAGGCGGCATAAAAAGTGTAGGCTTCGTGAACAGTAAACTGATTCAAACACCTGGAAGAATTCACACAGGGCTGACGCATGTTTCAGACTGGTTCCCAACCCTCGCGCACTTGGCCGAGGCATCAGTTGAAACGGTTCCACTGGATGGAGTTAATCAATGGGCGAGCATCAGTGAGAAAAAACCGTCTTTAAGGACAGAGATCCTACATAACATCGACCCTATTCATGAATTCTGGGGAACGCCAGACGGCTACTCCCATTGCCGTAATGCTGCTCTTAGGAGAGGGGATTGGAA